CGAATTCGATAATGGTTCATGCTAAGGGTACTGATGGTAAGTGATCACCATCGTTGTTTTATGAATCCAATGTGCTAACTGCCAACTAATAATTTCATTTAAAATTACAAAATGAAGAAAATTTATCAAAATATTTATTTATGGACCTACGACTATAATTATCACTAAAGGCTTATTCAGATATAAGCGGTAACGCTGTCGCGTTCGGTAGCGATACCGAATCGGTACGCGATATCGCCTGACAGCGCGGCGCCGGACGATGCGTGGCAAATACCCGCCCCTTCCCGCATACGCAGTGCATCAAAGAGTAGTATAATATACCGCAGTGCATCCAGCCAGTCCTTCCTTCACTCCCTGCGAGACGCATCTCACGTGCACGTATTGCTATTTGTTTTTGCATGGATGAGTTCGAGATCATGCCGAAATCAATTAAAATAGAAAAAGTTATCGAGTTGATAGAATCTTATACAGTGCTATATGATATGGCTCATTCAGATTACAAAAACATATTTTTGAAAAATAAAATATGGTATGAGATTGGGGTAAGTTTTTGCATATCTTTAATTACTACAATTTACTTATGATTACATTAAGCTAATCTAAGCGCTATTACTAAAGTAGTTTACAAACTTTTCACGTATTTCCTTTTCATCAATATCCATCATAAAAAAATACTCAGTGTTTTCGTGTTTACTCACAGACGGCACAAAAGTAACTAACCATTTACCGAGCGCGACAGCGATTATCGCGCATGTCGCGATATCGCGTACCAATTCGGTATTGCTACCGAGCGCGACAGCGTTATCGCTCATATCTGTATAGGCCTTAATACCATCAAAGTCATTATAAAAGAATCACACACGTCATCATTGTTACAGGACGCGAAGATTTAGCTAACAAAAAGGTTTGTAACCTATGAATATTTTGAAGTAAATACTTCTTTTTTTTTGAAGTAAATACTTCTTTGGGGTTCAAGGGGGTGTCAAGCGCAATACAAGACGGTTTTCAAATGATCGTCTCCAGCCTCTGCACCCCAACTCCACTCTCGCCTTCACGCGGTGGACCCCGTTAAGTTGAGTAACCATGTCGAAGATTGGGTAAAACCCCAGTGAGAAGCATGGTCAACGAACAGAGAGAGACAGGAGGGATGAATGAGGCGTAGTAATTACGGTTTACTGGTCTAGAGGTATTCAGGGAAGGAGTAGCTCTCAGGGTTGGTAGCGGAAGAGTCTATTTAGACCAACGGTAGCGCCCACAGTCCTAGTAAGAAGGATCACTTCTCACTCACCAAGACGCCTTGGGCAAGCGGGTGAGTTAACTAAGCCTAAACCCTTCAAAAACATGGAAGTACACAGAACAGAACGGCCCCGAGTTCCCAGCGGGTCTGCGATCCCCAGCAAAGACAGCAGCGTGGGCACTAGCAGAACCAGGGGTGCTAACAATCTCTGGGAGTCAACAAGCTGTCAAAGAAACAAGAGCATGAAAGGAATAACAACACAGATTGCAGTGGCGTCATGTAATGTAAGAACTTTAAGGACAGAGGACCGGCTTGAGGAACTGTTATACGAGCTTGATAAAATTACATGGGATGTAGTTGGATTATCTGAGGTGAGAAGACCGGGCGAGGAGTGTTTAAAATTGCGAAGCGGGCACATTCTTTATTACCGAGGAAGTAATGACAATGCCCACAACCATGGCGTAGGACTACTTATTAACAAGCGCATCTGGGATAATGTTATGTCTATAAACACCGTTTCAGATAGAGTAATTTGTTTGGTTATAAAAATTTCACCGAAAACTTCAATCAAGATAGTCCAAGCATACGCTCCAACCAGTGACGCATCTGATGAGGCCATAGACTTGTTTTATGAAGATTTGGACAGAGGTTTAGCCCAAAATAAATCCACATTTACGATAGTCACTGGCGATTTTAACGCAAAGATCGGAGTAAAAATGGAAGAATCTGAGTCATTCATGGGTAATTTTGGATATGGCAATAGAAATTCTTCGGGTTCCAAATTGATTAACTTTTTAGAGCAGCACAAACTTTTTCATATGAGCTCCTTTTTCCAAAAACGCACAGAAAGAAAGTGGACATGGTTATCTCCGGGCGGAAGATACAGGAATGAGATAGACTACGTACTTAGCAGTCATAAGTGCATTATCAAAGACGTTACCGTCCTTAATAGCTTTAATGTTGGTAGCGATCATCGACTTATCAGAGCAAAAGTCATTGTAAATGCAAAAATGACAAGGTACACTTCCGTAAGATCCAGGAAGACAAGGGTGGACCCGATAAACATTATAGTCAATAGAGACCTATACCAGAAAAGAGTTGCCGACGTCCTTTCGTTGGCTCCGTTATCTCCTACCGTCGATGAACTTGCTAAACACCTGCAACATGCCCTCTATAATGAAGCTAAGGAAATAATCCCTAAACGGAAAACTATCCGGCACAAATTCAAACCGGAAACCCAAGACCTTTTGGAAAAGAGAAGACTGTTAGTCAAGCAAGGACATGTGTCTACAGAAGAGTTCCGAAATCTTTGCAAAAAGGTAAGAATGAGGGTGGAAACCGATATTAACGAATTCAGGGAAAGAACTGTGCAAGCCATTATAGAAAAATACAAGGGCCCTAAAGTATTTCGGAAAGCACTATCTCAAGGTACACGACAAATAACGAAACTCTTGGATAGGAATGGAAATTTGACGACGGACAGAAGATTGCTGCTGCAGACCGTTGAGCAATACTACCAAGAACTATATTCATCTAAAACCTCAAGGCCAACGGAAGTACACAGCAGGCACATAATGAACGTTGGGTCTGAAGATGTACCAGAGATATCCAACTCGGAAATAGAAACAGCTTTAAGGAAAATGAAGAATGGCAAAACTGCTGGCGAGGATGGGGTGGTCATCGAAATGGTTAAGGAAGGTGGAAAACATGTGATAGATTTCACGAACAGACTGTTGAACAAGTGCCTTGAAGAGGGTAAAATACCAAGAGAATGGGAATCGGCCAACGTAATATTGTTGCATAAAAAGGGTGACAAAGCAGATCTAAACAATTACCGCCCAATCAGTCTACTATCACATCTGTACAAATTACTTACCAAAATAATTGCCCTCCGTTTGACCAGCAAGTTTGATTTCTATCAACCACCCGAGCAAGCCGGATTCAGAAGCGGATTTAGCACCATGGACCACATTATGACGATGAGAACTGTAATTGAAAAAGCTACAGAATACCAAACATTCGTATGGCTAGCTTTTATTGACTACAAGAAAGCGTTTGATAGTGTGGAATCCTGGGCAGTTGTTCAGGCACTTCAGAATGCTCGCATAGACTACAGATACACGAAGCTTATTGAGAACATTTACAATAACGCCACCATGAAAGTCACGCTGGTCGACCAAACGCAACATATAGACATCAAAAGAGGCGTAAGACAGGGTGATACTCTTTCACCAAAATTGTTTACCCTGGTACTGGAGGATGTCTTCAAAAAACTTTCATGGGAGGAACGTGGTCTTAAGTTGCCGGGAACAAGACTGAATAACCTAAGGTTCGCTGATGACATCGTTTTGTTTAGTGATAACCCTGATGACCTCCAAACTATGATCCACGAGTTGAATGAAGCTTCCTTAAATGTCGGTTTGGAAATGAACCTCAGCAAAACCAAGATCATGACTAATGATCCCATTCCATTTACTATTAAGGTAAACCAATCCGTCATTGAAAAGGTAGAAAAGTATGTATACCTGGGTCAAGAAATTAAAATGGGAAAGGAAAATCAACTAAACGAAATAGATAGGCGCATCCGTCTTATGTGGGCTGCCTACGCAAAACTCGGCTTTGCTTTCAAAATGAATTTAACAGCGGTACAGAAAGCCAGATTGTTCGATCAGTGTATATTACCCGTACTTACCTATGGAGCTGAAACCTGGGTTCTGACAAAAGAAAGTATCAACAAGATACAAGTCGCCCAGAGGAAACTAGAGAGGAAACTAGTAGGGATTACACTACGAGACCGCAAGACTAACACCTGGCTTAGAAAGCAAAGCGGGGTCACTGATGCCGTTAAACACATAGCGAGTTTGAAGTGGCAGTGGGCGGGACATATAGCCCGAAAGCATGGCTCGTGGGGTAAGGCTGTCTTGGAATGGAGACCTTGGGGCGAGAAACGACCTAGAGGAAGACCACAGATGCGTTGGAAGGATGACGTCAGGAAAACTGCAGGGACGAATTGGATGGAAGTGGCGCAAGATCGAACTAGATGGCGTAATTTGAAGGAGGCCTACACCAGACTGGTTGAGAACGGCTGAAGAAGAAGAAGAAGAAATACTTCTTTAGTATCGTTGCGACTTGAGATTCGATGAAACGGAAGTAGAGTATATGGAAGTAGAGTATTTGACACGAGATAGGTAGGTAGGTGTAACTTTGTAGCACGTCGCACGCAATAGACGGATAGCTGAACGAAGTCGGTCTTAGGGTTGATACCAAAAGATCGGTAATTCGATGCCGAGCTCAGTTGATGTTTTTCGCTAGCGCTTTTAGCAATTTTTGGAACAATATTAAAGATTTAAGTTTGCCCGGTATATTACAATACCTGAATAGTGAAATAATAAACCTTCGGTTGGTAGTTAATATCAATTATTAGCACAGCTCTGGCTTTTTGAAATGAATTCTTCTATAGTAGCGTTGTGACTTGAGATTCGATGAAACCTTTGAGTATCTATAAGGATGAAACGGAAGTGGAGTATACGGAAGTAGAGTATATGCCACAAGTGTGTCTACGCAACAGGATATACGGTAAGTAATAATGTCTCCTTGTTTTTTTTTTATTAAAATCGCCTCTATCTAGTGCGTCTAGTATAATCATAATATCTACGTCTCCATTTAGTTTTTGTCTACTTCGGATTGTACGGGACTTGGGTTGAAGCAGAAATATACATACGTAGATCTGTCGTGTTGCGTTGTAACGCGATCGGTTTCGTACATTCAGTAGAACATAGAACTGTACTTGTGTCACGATGATATTGTTACGTGTCGGGATGGGGTTCGAATTTATATGCCAGTTCACGCTTGACAGTACTTTATTCACCACACAATTAACACACAATGTTAATCACAGAACACGGAGGAAAAACAAAGAGGAGCTGGCCTAAGCAACTGTGCACTGTGATTTTCAACTAGGTCCTGACGTCATCATTGTGGGCGGGGCCTAAGTCAGTATGCTTTCAGCGTTCGTCAGGTGCACACTTAACGAGACTCACATTATAAGTGTTTTTTTGCGTTTTTAACAAGAAAAGGATGAAGTTTTGTGTTTTACTATGTCAAAGTTACTCAGACAGACGTTCTGATAATATGGATGGCATCACATTTCATTTGTAAGTAATTTTATACGTAATTAAATATATAACTTCTAGAACATTCTCAGCCTCAGCTATCAGCGTTAAAATTCTACTACTTGACACCAGATGGCGACACTTTTAGGAAGAAAATACACAAGTTTACGTATAATTTTGCAGTAGTATATTGTAATAATCATACGTAAATACTGAAAACTGTTATACACTTATTCCTAAATAACCTTTAGTATCTAAAACAGTAATTTTATCAATATATTACTTACTGGCCGCCATCTGTCGTCATATAGAATAACTTTTTAAACGTTACAAATATCCAGGGCCGTAATACGTATTAAATTATTTTACCAAGTAAATAAATTTTAATTATTTTTATGTTCGTTTTAGATTTCCATCCAACGATAATTTAAAACAGCAATGGATTTCAAAACTTAATAGACCGGATTGGACACCATAGAAGAAGAAGATATTTCCATTTTAAATGAATCTTCTGTGCAAAAAATTAATATTAGTGTCGATTCTGGTATAATTCTCTAAAGCTAAACTTAAATTTGACAACAATGTATCTTTGTCATTCTCTATACAGAATGAAAAGGAGAGACTGATGTTAAATTTAGTTTTAAGTTTAGAGAATCACGCCAGAATTGGCATCATTACATCAGAACGTTATCGCATTTTAAATAAAATGAGTTTCGAGTCTTCGGATAGCACGGATGTCGAGCCTATGCCTGACGATATGTTATTGGAATTTGATGAACAATTAAATACAACTATAGGTGACTATTTGCGCCGTCAAATAGTAGCATATATTTCTGGGTATGTGGTCAAATATTTACATTCCAAGATCAAATGTGAGAGCTGTCTCAAAGAATTATATGCTGATAACTACGACGATAGTGACCTTGATTTGATAAAAACTAAAAATAAGGGTGGTCTTACTTTCCCATCTAGAGATGTCATAAAAATATGTATACGGACCGAATGCAGTATTCGCTGTGTTAAATCGCAATCTTTGAATACTCCTAACTTTCGTAAACATAAAATTGTATCGAATACATTAAAATCACTTATTGGACAAGATTGTTTCAAAAAATCGGCCAACCATATGTTTGACCAATCACCTACAGTTAATCATGTTGTATTTCTGATGAATTCGATTGCAGAAAAATATATTGATATTCGTTTTAAGCATTTTGCCACAATACAAAACGATAGGGCAACCAAGCGACAACAACTAACCAAAATTATTATTTACAGGTAATTGATGTTTTTTAATAAAATTATGTTTGTAATAACATTTTGTCTATTATTTTTAAACTACCTTAAAATTTAAATCTAAAGAAAATATAACTAGAAAAATATCCACGTGGACCAGGCAGCAGACGGGAGCGGGTGCGGGTTCGAGTCCCGTCTGCTGCCTGGTCTGCCTGGATTTTTTTTCATCAAGCAGTTACATGTTTTAAAATAATAAAAATTATACCTTAAAAATTTTAAAATCGGTCAAATTTGTTAACCTTTATTTTATTTATTTACCTACATAATTCATTTTTTTGAAGCTTCAAGTTCTGAATACGTCCCATTATATACAAAACTTTTGAACATCTAGTGTTAGATAGCTGAACTACTACGTAGTAACATAAATATCAACCTAAGCTAGTTTTGCTATTAGCCGATAGATGAAATATTGAGAAGTGGGCGGAGCTGAACACCCCGCATCCCGCAAATTATCACGCGTCGTTTCTTGAGAAAATTTAATCACCACACCTCCTCTTTGTTTTTCCTCCGTGTCACAGAACACTCACTAAACATACACTATACAAGTCTCTAAACAACCGCACTTGAACACTTTTGTTGCAGTTTGATCGCCTTTGGATTCGCTCCGAAATCGCTGTTGAAACTCAACTCTCACTGCGCGGCGCCAAACAAGTGCAGATGTCGTTGCACTTTCTCCCTTGCGCCGCACAGCATATGGCTTATTTTAGAATGAGCCGCATTACTCGACCTCTATCGCGACCCGCGGTGATCTGGCAAATTCGATCTCTAGCACTTTCGCGGTTACGTTTCGAGAGCGTTTGTGACACTATAAATATTCAAGAATCCTGAATATTTATATAATAAATTAAAGTATTCTACTTTTCATCATCACTACGGGTTAGGTGCCCTCTCATCCATCATCCTTATTAGAACTTCAGGAAATTGGAATATCCAGAAATTAGTTGCTTGGGTGAAGAGGTGTCGGTGTTGGTGTTGTGTGCTTTTATTTTATTTTCACCGAAACTATTTTCTCTCTCATTAATTTATCAATATTTACTATAATTATATATTTAAATGTACCATAATTATAATATATCAATGAATGTGTAATTAATTATCGTATTTAATTTCGTTCAATGTAATTGTGAATTTTTATCTGACATATAAATTCGAGACATCTTTATGGGTCACAAATGAAAATCATCGATTTACTCTCTGAGTAAATGTTACGCTGAGTTTTCGCCCGTTCGTATCGCCGCTGCACACGAAAATATCATTGTACAGTTGTATAAATATAATTTGTTGCCTGTTTTAAAGGATTTATCTAACTGTAAAAGGGCATTGGGCAAAAACGTATGGACGCGTCCGCCACGGCATAAACTACACTAGTTTGAAAGGTATTATAGTCATAATCATTTGTGCCAAAGCGCATCAAATTTCACCCCCGGGAGTCTTTTGTTATTTTAAGTTAAAAATGGGCAGAAGTACTATAACAAACGAGCATTAATGAAACAAGGGAATTAATTTAGTTAGTTAGTTCGACACTACATAGGGGGCTCAGGTATTATGGGAGTAATTCACAAGGTTCAAGGGTGCCCCTTATGTTATTCTGCCGCGCTAGAGTAAATCCATAAATCCCCGCATGGGTTGGGGGTTTTCAAACATTCTGTTCGTTACAGTAAATTGTCTTCTTTGTAAAACGGAGCGACGCAAATCACCCAAACTTGTGCACGCTTCGGAGAAAACATGATTCCAGTTCATCCATACTATTTGACAAAACCGATAATCGTGTTTCAATGTCCAAAGTGTGTTAGATAAAAATCAATCGAGTAACAGGAAGCGCACAATCATAATGAAGTAAGACGAGTCGACTATTTGCAACTGCAAGTCCTTCAACCCCCGTAAACCGTTTTGAGGTGTCTCAGTAAGAGCAAGCGCAGGATGGTCGGCAGGCTTTGTCGTATATCTGGTTGTATAGTACGATATGGCATATTATTATGGTTACTAATAATATAAAATGAAGGTACTATAATATTATTATTTTTTAGTTGCTTAAAATGCCCATGTGTCATATCTTTCGACTACCGGGATATTTTTTTACGGTGTCATAGTAAAAAAGGCTAGTTTTTCATAGATCTATCAATTCATACTAATGACATTGTTGGCGAAACTGGGTGTGTGTTTGCCCATTGTCCTTTGACAACAGTATATCTTTGCATTCTCTATACAGAATTAAAAGGACAGAAAGATTATTAATTTAGTTTTAAGTTTAGAGAATCACGCCAGAATCGTCTCCTTGATTTTTTTTTATTATTAAATTCGCCGCTAGTTTGTGCGTCTAGTATATTGTCACAAACGCAAAGACACGTTACAATACATAATCATATCTACGTCTCCATTTAGTTTTTGTCTATCGGATTGTACGGGACTTGGGTTGAAGCAGAAATATACTTATCTGTCGTGTTGTGTTGTAACGCGATCGGTTTCATACATTCAGTAGAACTTTACTTGTGTTGTTACTGTTGTAAATGTATGAAACAGATAGCTCTCTGATGAGTCACAGCACAACACGACCGATAAATGCAGTCCTACAATAAGCGAGGCCGCGGGGCCCCCTGAGGCCGCCTTTGCGCTTAAGATACGTTTCTTATTTTTTTTTTTAAAAATTCCTCTACAGAATAAAAGCTTTTATCCAATAGCCAATTTTTGAAGTTATACTTCTTTAGGCGCGTTATGAAAAAATGATGAGAGTGAAATTTTAAGATGCGCGCGCATCACTGTAACACAAAATTTTAACAGCATGAAAGCGACCAACTTCATGCGTTACTTTTGCTAACGACTGCATTGTGAAGGCCTTTCAAAAGTATTTATTAATCTGGAACAACGGAACCAAAGCGCGATTCAGGAGACTACAGCGCCATCTCTTGACCATTGGTGTAGTAGAACCAAAATGCACATCTTTATTTTTTGTAATAAAGTAACAGTTATAGATATTCATATTTATAATATCAAAAGTATTTATTAATCTGGAACAACGGAACCAAAGCGCGATTCAGGAGCCATCTCTTAACCATTGGTGTAGTAGAACCAAAAACCACATCTTTATTTTTTGTAATAAAGTAAGTTATTAGGTATTCATATTTATAATATTTATCCACATGTTTCTAGTTTGTATATTCGGAATACGTGTTTGAGTTTCATACAAGTGCAAATCACATATGTTTTAATAAATTATATTCAGTAGCGATTTTAATTGAATATTTTGATTATTTATTTATTTTTTCAAATTAAAACTGAACTTTATTGACTGTGTCCTTTTCCAGACTTTTTATTAATTTATTGTAATTAATTATTTGCATGCAATTAAAAACTAATTTTAAACGATGCCAAAGAAGGATAACTTCTCACGCGCCTACATGAGTA